TGTCTTGGTATCCCCTTTTTGTAACAGTCTTCTAATTAATATGACAAGCTGCTACAGTTGCTTTCATTATTAGGACTGTACAGCAGCTTTGTATTTCATTCTCTTCTTGTCCTCGTGGAGGTCTGCTGCCTACAGCGCAGGTCTACACCGTGCTCCTCTTTTTCTCAAGGCCTTCCTGGAACCTGTGGTCAGAGGCAAGGAGGCCAGGAGAGTATTTGTCATCTGTTTTCCCAGCCTCCATACGGACTGGATTTGATGTGTATTCTGTGCTGTTCTAGTGGTTGTGATGCTTTTGTTCCTATTGATGCATTTATTTACTGATTTTTTTTTTTGTCATTTTTAGAAAAATAATGAAAACGGTTAAACCGAATGGCTGTGGTCCTTGGCCTTCCATGGCCAAGCAATAGCTTTTGCAGCTGAGGCTTTTGATCAACCGCAGAAAGCTATTACAATTGTAGTCTTGTGCCCTACATATTGTATGCGACCAGAGAACAATTTAAGCATTGAGATTTGCCAAAACCCACAGATTTTATTTGTTTTTTAAAAAAAAAAGTCTTAAATGTGTTCTTAGTGTTTTGCTGAATAGGGGTATCTCCCAATTTAGTAATCTGTCTCTTCTTCTTCCTTTAATTCTTTACACTGGGCTGAGGTGGTATGGAAAACAATTTCACTTTCCCAGAGGTATTCCCTTTTCTGTAGTTTTCTCCCCTTCTGTCTTTTTTTCTTGCAACTGCAAGTTTAGAACCTCTATACCCATTCTTTATCCTCTCCTCTATTCTTCATCCCCACAAGGAGTGGCAGCATTCTGGAATGTGTTGATCTCTGTCTTTAGGAAACATTCAGTAGTTTTACCACACAGATTCCTTGGCTGTAACCTTATTCACATTTTCAAGGAGCTAGCGATTTAGATGCTGTAACCCCTGCAAGCCTGTATTTGGTTTTAATTCTGGCTTAACTTCTGTATATACTTTTACAAAATACTTAGGTTTTACTGTTAATTGTATTTAGTCTGCCTTTTGTAACCTTTACTTGATTAGCTCATGTTCATCCATCTGTCCCTTGTAATGTTTGATGGTACTAGGAAGTTTCAACAGAATGTAAGGTAAAGATAGAATCTCAGAATATTAAGTTACTCTAACAAGTAAGTTTTGGCTGACAAGAGGAGAAGGAAAAGCTGCTGCTAATGTTTGTTTGGCCCTCTGGAAGCTGAGAGAAAGTGTGTTCTTGTTGGTTCACTTTGTGGCCAAAGGCCATGATCATCTCAATCTACCCAGAAGACCAGGCAAAGTGTGTGGAGCATGCGGGTGGGAACCAGAAGTACCAGCTTTCAAATGCAGAAGGCAGACTGTAGGAAAATGTATTTCTTGCTTGTCTGGGAATAATTTTATCGATGTTTTGAAGATAAAATAAACCAGTAGTAGGTCTGTCGTAATGCAGATTCTTCTGTAGGGACTAATCTGCAGCAAACCTGGTATTAGAGTAGGAATTACCTTTCTTAGTGCAGAATAGTGAACTTTCAAAAGGGGAAGAAAAGTACTTATTCTAGAAACTGTAATATAGTTGAAAAAAGGCAAAAGGAATGGATGGTTTCACATCATGGCTGTCTCATGTTTTTTGATGAAGTCTTGCTTCTGAGGTGTTGTTTCTTTGAAAGTTCTTGCCATATATGTTACTGCAGAGCTGACTGGGTTGGATTGATGATCTCCTTGCAAGTGCTTATATCAGAAATTCAGTTACTCTGCACGTAAACATACATTTCTAGCTGGTATTCAGTATTGTTAGTATTTGGGCCTTATTTTTCCTTAATATTTTGTATAAATGTTAGAGATACCAACTTCAGTACAGTGTTTTAAGGTCCTTGAAGGAAAATCACTATAATCATAATGCAACGGGCAGTTTAGAATTGAGGAAGAGTATTAAAATACTTAAGACGTTACAGCTGAAACTCATGAGTTTCGGTACAGCCCAAACTGAACTTCTGAATTTGAGCTATTTGGGGAGATGGTGGCACCCAGATGCCTAAAACTACCTCCTAGACTTTATATGATGATTTGAATTGCTTGCGCTTTTCATTGTTTAAAAACTGATACTTACCAACAAACTTCATTTTAAAAACTGTAGATGAGATTATAAGTGGTCTTTACTTCTGTTTCCTTTATACTGTTGAGTAATTACCTTTGAATTACTGTTGTAGCTCTCTTCTGATTCTTTGTACCGGACACTTCCCTGTGTCCTGATGTGCCCTCTCCTTACTGCGTTTTTAGCCTCTGCAGGTTTGACAACAGGGGACTAAACAGAGGGAGTTTGCCTGGAGCACAGCTCTGTTGTCATGGTTCTGGTTGAGCGTGTGTTAACACCGGTCCAGCTACTTCTTGCTGTCAGTCTTAAGCCCCTTTCCTTTTGAATAATCAAGCAGAAAATTGGGTGCTTACGCTCAGATAAAACCCAAAAGTCCTTCTTGACTGTTCCAGGCTAACAGGGAGGCCTTCTCTTGTCCTGTTTCCTTTCTAGCCTTCAGTTGCATTCCTGTCCGCTTCTCTTCTTTGTCAGTAGTGGGTGGCTGATCCTTGCATTGGACCCCTGTGCTTTGTTGTTGGAGGAACTGTGGTTGCTTCTAGCCACTGCTGCCAGTGGGGGAAGCCCAGCTGCACTTTGCGGGCCCTTAAGACTTCTGTGCTATCCGCTACATTTCCATGTATGGTGGAATAGATAGTGATACATAAAAGTTAAATAAAGTAATTATTAGAACTCTGATAATTATATTTAGTTGTACCCCAAACTGTAAATCAGTTGAGAAGCACTTTTTTACATATATTTGAGTTAGTTTTCTGTGTTGAACTGGTCGCTTACTGTGTCGTTAAGTGCATAATAGTGCTCATGTGATAGGGTTGGGTGAGGGCAATGGGGGACTGTCAAAACTTACCTTTTGGTGGCAGCTAGCAATCCACTTGCTTACCTGTATCCACACTAATAGATCAGCTTAGTTTCTGCCTACTTGAAGCACCAGTATAACTAATTAAAAAAAAAAAAAAAAAGCGGGGGGGCAGAATTGCCAACAAAAAGCTTAGGCTATAGTTTGAGCCAGTGGTGCTCATGGCAGTTGCAGTCTTCCCTTTGCTTGTTCCTAGTCTTACACAGTTCCCTTTCCTGGTGCTTTCATGCTGTTGTATAGTGAACTGGATTGGAGAATTTTTCTGGCTGAAGAATTGCCTGACAAGAAATTTATTTACCTTTAGACCAAATTAACTTCCCCTTTCAGTTCACCACAGGGCTGCAGAGCACATCTGTGTGGGCAGAGAGAGCATCACAGGGATTGGGAGAGGCAGGACTGCAGTAGTGCTGGCTTGCTTTGACTGAAGTCGTTCAAGGTAGAGCTGAGGCACGCAGCTTGGTGGTGCTGTCCCTGCCATGTCATTCAGCTGAACTGATGTATCCTGCTTTTTAAAAACCGTGTAAAATTTTGACAGTTTTGTGTTGTCTGTGACATAATAAATGCTCGGTACAGTAATTGTACTGATATTCTGCAGACAGTTAAAATGAAGGATATTTAATTGTAATTACTTTATCTCAGTCATGAAAATTGGAGCATTGAAGCAAATCCAAGTCATGAGCTATTTGTTTGGCATTTTTGCTGTATTTACATCAGATGCTTTGTTTTCTTTCTTTCGCTGTAGAAATTCCAAGTAAGAAATTTTTGAGGAGAAAAATAAGTCTTTAGTTCAGATTCTGTATATTGCTCATTGTAATCCTCTGTTTCATTACCTGATTCCCCTAGTAATATCATAGATTCAATACTGTGTAACCTCATAATGTAACCTCATAGCATTAGTAAACTTTAAAACATGATGAGTTAGAAATGGCTAGAGAAATGTTAGTCTCTGTTGCCTTTTGATCTAGAAGTAGATGCAGATGCTCTGAAAAATAGGTGGTGTTTGAAAGCAGTAGGTAATTTAAATTCTGCTTCTTTCCTTAATTTCAATAAATCACACTTTTAATTAATTTCATCTAAATTTTTTTATAAGCAATTTTTAAATGAATTGATTGTCACTCAAAATAACAGTGTATCTGACAGTAGAGTTTTCATAATGTGAGCACCACAGCTGATGCTATTCTGAAGTGTAATGTCAACATCAAAGGAGGGAAACCAGGTAATTGGTAAAACTGTGTTGGACTATACAATGTTCTGAACAAATATCCTTTAAAGGGTTTTTAACTCAGAAGCTAAGAAGTAAAAAGCTGTGCTTGGTAAATTCTCATCCCTTTGTTTTTAAGAAAGTGGATTTGGAAATGCACTTTTTTTCAAAATGGTCTGTGTTGTTAACTATTCAAAAATTGCTAGCTGTACTCAAGAGTACTGAATTGTGTTCTGAGACAACTGAAAGCAAACTGCAAGTATACTTTTAAGCACAGAGTTCAGGCAGCAGCATTTGTTCTTGTTAAGTTGAATTTCTCAACGAAAAACTCCTAGATCCTCCATTTAAGAGGTTTCTTAGTTTAAAGAACTGAAGTCTGCCATGTGACAATACAAATTTCAGGTTGTGCTCTAATATGTGCTGTATTTCTCAGCTTTATGACAGTGAGTAAAAAAGCCGGTTTGTAGAGATAATGTACATAGAAAAATACTAGTATCCTGAAATAAAAGTAATTCTCAACCTTTGTGCAGTCTGTATGCAGACCTTCTGTTTAGTAAGGCAGAAATTAGAATGTGCTGCCAGAATTTTCTTCATAATTTTTGGTTCATTGTGCACATTGAGCAGAACAGAAATATTCAGGATAATGCTCACATTTGTATCTGAGCAATTTTAAATCCTGGACTTTCCTGCCTTTTGATCTGTCTGGTCCTTCCATGGTACTTTATGTTGCTAGTTTGTGACAGTTTTAGTATACTAGTGTATCTTATATAAACAGTGCTGTGTTATTTCTGTAGATGGACTTTCTCTGATGTAGAGATAAAAAAAAATCTTTTTTTTTCCTATTTTTTGTTTTTATCATTATTGCAGAAAGTTCTAAGCTGAGACATGTAGAAAAAGATGTTTTGATTCCACAAATAATGAGGGATCGAGCCAAGGAGCTGTGTTCAGATAAAGTGCAAGGTAAGAGTCAGATATTCATTGGGAGATCAGATGTATTCACTTTTGTGCCCTGAATATAATCCTTGGTTTTGAAGTCAAGTAGTCAGAGAATTAATATGTATGATCTGCATCTTATCTGTTCACTGTGAAACCAGTAGTAAAGCATATAAATCTGCTGTGTTGGCTTTGGCTGCTTGGTGATGTGGATTTTTTTCCAAAATGACTTGTTCTCGAGGGCTGTGGAATTCAGTATGATTAATATAAAACTTTCCACATCTCCGTCTAGACTATGTAATGACAGAGCAACACAACAGTTACTGTATTCCTGTACATAATATTTGATACTTACATAAATGAAATTGTCTCATGTGAGCCTTCAGTTAGGGTCTCCCTCATTACGATAAATTTATTTAGATATTCCCAATTAACTGCATCCTTTCCCTGGCCCAATATTTTAATGATACATGCACATAAACACACACATGTTATTAGTCAGATGTTGAAATAGGGTGGTACGGCCCATTTTTGCATGTTTTCATTTTCTTTTGAAGAGTACTGGACAATAACTCTTTAAAGTTGGGTATCACCACTTCTGACACCCAGCTGTTCATATATTCCTCGCAGAAAGCTGGAGCTTTTTGAAGTACCAGAAGGATAGAGCTACTTATGCACAGGTTAGCTGAGAATGTTGCTATAAGAGGGGTGTAAGAATGGAAAAAAAATTTAGGCCACAGAATTATTCTATACAAGTGGCATGCTTTCAGTAGAGGGCACTTGCCTCTTGTTATCTAGATCTGTGCTCTCTAAACTTTTTTGATCATGCACTCCATCAGTAACATTTTCTGAGCACGCAATCCCATTATACGTATATTTATTTATAAATTATATACATGTACCACTCTACTAGTATATTATGTACATTGTAAAACAAAAAAATAGAAATTAAAAAAGGATGAGATAAAGATGAAATAAACAGTACTTTAAAATAATTTTTATGTTATTTATCAATGGTACAAAACCCTTTTTGCTCTTAAAATATTACTATTAGTAACAATATTTTTATTGAGAGCTATATGGTTGAATATGCTTCATTATTTTTTTAAATCTTTGTTTAACACTTTGTGATACAGCAATTTGAAGGTCTGGTTCTGAGTTCAGTTTATTTCAATACTTGTTTTAATGGGTGTCATAGCTGAAAAAGATACCTCACAAAGATGCATAGATCCCAATGGAAGAGGTGCATTGTTGCCTGCACTTACTAAATAATGATACTCGTTTTTCAATCCCATCCACAAGTTCTGCAAAGGTTTTGCTTGAAATTGGGCTAGTAAATGATCATCTTCCCTGATGCCAATCAGTTGCTCTTCCAAACTAATCAGAAGGTGTTGCATGTTTATATTTTTAACAAATAGGTTCAAAACCCACTGAAACTCTCATTTGGAAGGTTTTTAAACAGGTTAGAAAATTCTGTTTCTGTCCTTTTAAAGTGTACAGATATGAGAGGTCTTTATAGGTGAAACACTTGCATTGTGTTCAGCAACAAAACCAAAACCAAAGCAAAACAAAAAAATCACATAAAGAGGGGAACACATCCAAACATCTGTTTTCAAAATGCTCTCTCCATAGGATGAGTTTCTTCTGAAAAGCAGTTACTTTCTCACTCATTGTTAAAGCATCACCTTCACCTCGAAGGGACACATTAAGTGTGTTTATTTCTTGGAAACACCTGCTAGGTAGCAAACTACTCACAGCCACCTGCCATCACCAAAAAGGTCAGCAAATGTGGAACACTTGTCTTTTTGTAAAAGAAAAATGTGTAAAGTTTGACAACTCTTTTAAGCACTTTGCCACAAGATACCCAGCAAGCCTCTGTGTGGTGCAAGAGATTTTCATGGTCACACCCATCTCATTACAAAGTCTGGTAAAGATGCTACTGTTTGAAGGGCTTGTTTTTATAAAGTTAACCACACTGATGTCATCCTGTAGCACTTTGTGCACTCCTGGCTCCAACTTCTTTGCTGCAATAGCTTGCCTATGAGTGATGCAGTGAAGGAGTTTCACATGCGGTGCTATGTCTGTAGCCTTACCCTGGAATCTCTTTTTTATTCCATTCAAAGTAGCTGCTCCATCAGTGGTTACACTTGCCCAGTTTTTCCATAAAACATTGTTTTCATTAAAGAAGCCATTTCTTTTTGAGAATATATCTTCTCTAGCACAGCTCTCCTTGAATGGCCCACAAAAAAAATAGTTCTTCATGTATTTCATTATTGAAATGCAAATACCATAAGCTGAGAGAAGTTCAAAACATCTGTACTTTCCTCCAACTGTATAGCAAACCTCCCACACTGTGTCACTTGTTCTAATACTTGCTTCTTCAAGTCTTCAGCAGTGTCTTCTACGCATCTTCCAATAGTATTCACTGACAAAGGTATGCATTTTAGTTTGTTGCCATAATGTTTTGCATGTATTATTTGAGTGATTTTTACCGTGGCAGGAAGAACAATTGTTTCCCCGATGGTATGTGGCTTTTTGTCTTTCACTGTTACCTAAGAAACTTCAGAAATGGCTTCTAGACATTATCACTAGGTTTAGAGTCAAGTCTAGTTAAAGTGGACCACTGTATTTCCCAGGAGCTGCTTTTAGGGGTTCTCCAAAAGACATAAAAGAGTAGTGTTACAATAAATTTGAGATGAGTAAGTGGGAAGAGAGTTGGGAATATCTGCCAAAGTAAAGTGGCATCACATGACAGGTAGCTTCCAGTGCTGCCAGAAGGAGTTAATACACCTTTTTTTCATTTGAATGATAGTTGAATCATTTTTACTTTGAACTCTGTACCTGTTAGGGGGAAAAAAAATGAAGAGGAAAAGCAATTACAGTAATGTGGGTCATGGAAAGACAATGTCAGTTAAAAGTATTTTGAGAGCATGCTATTTGTATACTCTTGTTTGGGGGTAGACCAAAGGGAGTGTGTGTGTGTGTTTTTTCTCCTCTGAACTTTCTCTGTGTAAGATGAGGACTTTGGCTTCAGCATCTTAGTTTTCTGTAGCAGCAACCAATATTGGAGAGTCGAGCTGTGAGTTGTGGACCATTACCTTATAGCTTCTCCATGTGTTTGCCTCCATAAATTTTAAAGCAAAATGCTATCGGGTTTTTTTTCTGTGATGTTAGGTGAAACTATATTTTTTTAATTCTTTCTCCTGAATAGAGTTCAGTTGTGTATCTTTAGGAGAATGAGGTTTGTGGATGCATCTGTCTCCCCCTCATTCCTCTGTCACCTGTAAGCCAGCTTTGATCAAATTGTGGGGAAGTTAGAGGTAGAAACTGAATATTTTCGATACAATTTTTATGATCAAAGAGACAAGCAAAATCCACAGTGATAAACTGAATATTTTCGATACAATTTTTATGATCAAAGAGACAAGCAAAATCCACAGTGATATCCCTATTTAAAAAAAGGTGGTAGCATAAGTTCAGCTATTTTGTTGTACACCATTTAATCTGGACAGGACAGGGAGAGAGACCAAACCACGGGAAAAGAAGCTTAAGCAGTTTTGGGCTGTGATACAGTTTGCGTGCCACAAAGTGTAGACATGTGCATGAAATTGTGCTGTGTACACTAAGTGGCATAGCTACTCATGTAACTTGCTCTCAGTGTAGGGTTTTTCTGCTTTATGTTAATTTTGTCTGAACAGCTCCTATTAATTAATACACCTTTTTATCATTTTGTCTTTAGGAAATTGTGGTAAATGCATTGGTAATACAGGAAATAAAGCTATTCTACAAGTATGGTCCTTTACAATTTACTTGATCACGCTAGGTTCATATGTGTCCCTATGGGGAGCCCCTATACATTCAATAGTGCTCTGCGTGAGCACAGGGGTCCATCTGTATACAGTCCGTTACCTTAGCCTGCAGCTATACCACCTAGAGCTGTGTGCTTATCAGAGCTAATAATGCAAGTAGTGACAGCCTGTCCAGCTCGTGTTCAAGAGCCATCCAGGGAACAGAAACCCCAAGGGTTAAAAAAATAAATAAAAAATAAAGGTTTTGTTAACTCCAGGGGTAATTCTGCTACCCTAGCACGGTTAAATAGGTGACCCATTGCTGTGCTTGGTTGTTAGCATACCAGAGTAGCTTAGGGATGAAATAACCATGAAAATGTGTCCACCTGATAATTTTTAAGAAAAGTGAAGGATTGTGTCTGGTCATATTTCATTTTACTTAGATTATTTAAATTTGCTTTGAATTTTTTTCAGGTTGTTCCAGTATAGTTCTTGTGTGTGCTGCATGTTCCTCAAGAATTTAGTACATCGCAGTTGCAGAATACTTTGTGTTTAAGATTTTCAAGCACTTTTTCAGGGAAAATGGGTATATTAGTAATTTTGTTAAGAGGGTGAACATGCTTTCTGCAAAACACTAGTTAGTTTTCCATGACCATTATGTAAATATGCTTTATTGTGTTACTATCCATGCACTGTATGTATGTGAAATTGTGGGCACAATGTGTGTGAGTTTGGAGTGTCAAAAGTGTTGTAAAAAACAAGCAAACAAAAAAAATCACAACAACATTGTCATACAGGAACTTTTCACTGTATTTGTACAAACTGTAGCATGAGTTCATCTGAAATAATATTAAATCCATGTATTTCTGTATTGGTGTGTCTTTGGCATATAAAAATACGTGCTTTCAAACTGAAGTAGCTAAAAGGAACATTTATTTACCTTTGCCTCATCTATTGCTTTTATGAAGTAATTTCTTAAGCAAGCTGTTTTCCTTTAAAATTATCAAGTTTTTGGCTTTAATTTCCAGTTATAAAATTTAAATTTGAGTAAACTTCCTTGAAGAAAAATAATAGCAAATTTCAGGAACCTGAAGTTAGCATTTTTCATCAGAAATGTTATCTTTAGCTTATCAAAACTTCTGTAGTTTCATCTAGCTGTGCTGTGCTTTCCATAACTCCTCTCTGCTCTGAAACTAGGGACACTCACTAAAAAAAAAAACCTGCAAGAGCTTTGGTTGA